AATTCTAACGATGCACCAAAGGATCAACGAACTCCATGAAGCGGAAGGAAGATCTACTAGTTATTAATTAAATTATAAATATATCAATTCATGTGAATATGACTGAAAATTTTATTTTTTTCTGAAAAGGTGGTGTCTATTTACTTATGGCCACGCTGTGTACATACAAATACAAAGTTTATTTAAATATAATAAAACTTCTATAGTTTCCATGCAATACCGTCACTTATAAAGTGTGGATCAAAAATGAAAAATCAGGGCCTAATTCGTTACATATCAAAATGATTTTTTTCTCATCTTCCCAAGTGAGATTGACATTTGTAAAAGAAATATAATGCCCCTTTAGCTCATTACATGTTCAGTGGACAACAGTTTAAACCTATGACAAACTAATATGCATGCGCAATAAACAAGTTGTCTAAATTAATTATACAAGATAATAAACAATTTTAATTGAAAAGAGGAATAGGGATCGTCAAAAACGTACAGAAATAAGTTCAATCAAAATGCAGATATTATATTTTTAAGCCTACAACTAGGGACTCTAAAAAATAAACACACTAGGTTGGTAATTGTGTCTACATTATTTTTTGGAGCTACAAATCCCTATTGTTATGACAGCGGAAGTCACGTGTCACTAGTCTTTTCTAGGGGCCCACTATTTTAGTATATAATCCCGGCAAATAAAGCGGAGATATAATAGCAGATAGTGAGATATAGAGACAAATTATTGAGTCAAGCGAGCGGTAGTAACTTAAGTAAAGTGCGTGAATCGTTGTGAATTATAGCGTGTGTTTAAGTTAAAGTGCATTGCAAAGTTGTATTGAGAAAGAATAAACTAGTTTTATTTAAGAAAGGACTTGTATCGCTGAAGTTCTTCGCAAAGAATTTTTACGGGAAATTAACAAACGAACAGAGACGTAAAACTATTTTGACTACATTATTGATAAGTACTGTAGACCTGGAGTCAAAATAGAGACTTGTAGCTTGATAAAAAAATGTAGACACTATTTCCAGCCTAGTTTATTTACTTTTTTAGAATTGTAACGGATTTACTATCATATAGCTGTTTTAATATCGATGTTTCTTTAAGTTAAATATATATATAAATGTACTTAACCTATACTGTTCAATCTGTATTGCGAAAATCCCGCTTATTCACTAAAGTTGTTGAAGATTTTCGATTGTAAAAATCAACAATTCACGTGTGTGTGCGTAAACACTAGTGTACCGTCGGTATTGTTGCGTAGGCTGAAATTTCGAGAAACTGTCCTCATGCCTATAAATATAAGCAACGTGATGCACCAAAAGACAGTATCTATTATTGGTTTGCTATAGTTGGTGTATTATAAACCTCGGAAGCTATAACTGCGATTACCGCTTAGTAATCGGGAACTTCAGATATTTGACCAGAAACGTTTATGAATTTCAAACATTACAAACCATTTAACTTCAGTGGATTCACATCAAACATTAATATTTTTACGAACATTAC